CAGTCTGCCTGTCTGTCTATCCGTCTGTCTACGGTCTATCTATTCTATCTATCTGTCCTTCAGTCCTATCTATTCCATCTATCTGTCCTACGGTCTATCTATCCATCTATCCCCTGTCTACGGTCCCCTTTAATCTTAAATCCAAATCTATCTGGTCCCTTTACGGTTTTTTTCTATCCTTAACCAAAATTTCCCCCCTTTTTATAAATTTGTTTTTCCCCCCCCTTCAAAAAAGTCCCCCCCCCCCCCCCTGTCTCAGTCTTTTTATATATATATTCTGTCTAACTATTTATTAATGCTATCTGTCTTTTTTTAAATGCTCTCTGCCATCTACTGCCAATGTCTCTTATCAGTAGATTTCGCATTTTAAAACTTAAGAAGAAAAAAACTGAAAAAAAAAGTAAAGAAAAAAAGAAAAGAAAAGAAAAAGAGAGAAAAAAGAAAAAGAAAAAAGAAAGAAAAGAAAGGAAAAAAAAAGAAAAAAAAAGAAAAGAAAAAATAAGAAAAAAAAGAGGAAAAACAGAAAAGAAAGAAGAAGAAAAAGAAAAGAAAAAGATACACGGCGTCTTGAGACAGCCATCGTTTCCTTAAGCGATTTCCTTGACCTTTGACCTCCCTTCTGATTGCCGCCAATGCACTCCGCTCGTGCATGGCAGAAGATTCCAGTGGCTCTTAGGGAAGGTTTAGCCAAGTCCGGTAACGCCGTCTTGCATATTCCCTTTTCCTGTGCTTTCCTACGGCTTGGGCACATTGGCTTCCTCTCTTCTTCCTTTTCTTCGCTTCTCTATTCTGGCTTCTTTTTTCTTTTTTCTCGGCTTGTTTGTTTTCTTCTTATTCTCTTTTTCCCTTCTCTCTCTCTCGTTTCTTTCTTCTTTTTCTTCTTTTTTTTCTTCTTATTCTTGTTTTTTTCTCCATCTTTCTTTTCTTTTTTCTTTCGTCTTCTGTTTCTTCTTAATTCTTATTCTTATTCTTCTTGTACAAGTTCTTTTTCTTGGTCTTATACCAGTTTTTTCTTCTGCTTGTTTTATTCTTGTTCTTTGGCTTGTCTTCTTTCTTTCATCTTATTATTCTTATTCTTCTCGTTCTTTTACAAGATCTCTTTCTTTTTTGTTCTTTTTCTTCTTCCGCTTCTTTTCTTCTTCTTCATCTTCTTTCTACTGCAACTATTCCTACGATTATTTCTTCTTATTTTCTCCTTCTCTGTCTTATTATCTTTCCCTTTCTCTTTCTCCGTCTCTTTGTCCTTCTCTTTCTCCTCCTCCTTCTCCGCACTCCTTCTTCATCTCCTTCTCCTCCCCACCCTCCTTCGTTACCACTTCTTTTTCTTCTTAACTTTTCTTTCTTTCTTTTATCCGTTAATCCCATTTCGCTTAAATATCCTTACGTTTTTCTTAGCCTTGTTATCTTATTCCATGCTCTGAGGATGTTCCTTTAATTTCAACTGGAAAAGAGAAAGAAGAGGAAAGAGAAAGTGAGAGAGAGGGAGGGAGAGGAAGAGAAGAGAGAGAGAGAAGAGAGAGAGAGGAGAGAGAGAGAGAGAGATAGGAAGAGAGAGGAAGAGAGAGGGAGGAGAGGAGAGGAGAGAGGAGAGAGAGGAGAAGAGAGATGAGGGAGAGGAGAAAGAGAGGAGGAGAGAAGAGAGAAAGAGAGAAATAAAAAATAAATAATTAAAATAAAATAAAAAGGGGGGGGGGGGAAAGAAAAAGAGAGAGAGAGAGAGAGAGAGAGAGAGAGAGAGAGAGAGCAAATGAGGAAAGAGAGAGGAGAGAGAAGACGACGAGAGAAGATGAGGAGAGAGAGAGAGAGAGAGAGAGAGAGAGAGAGAGAGAGACGAGAGGAGAGAGAGAGAGAGAAGCAAAAGCAAAGACCAGGAAGGAAGACGAGGCTAAGATGGGCAACCCGGATGTAGGAGTGAGAAAGTGGTTCGCGACTGAACGTAACTAACGTTTTCTGGACTGGACGGCTTTTGAGAGAAGAGGGGGGGAGGGGAGGGGCGTGATAAAGGGGGTCGTGAGAAGAGAGAGGGAGGAGAGGGAGGAGGGGGTGAGGGCGGAGAAGAAGAGGGAAGAGGGGGTCAGGGTGAGTAGGGTAGGGAGTGGATAGGGGGGTGAGGAGAAGAGAGAGAGGAGGGGAAAGAAGGAGGGGGGCGTGTAGGGGCGGAGAAGGGGGGAAGAGGGGTCAGGGGAGTAGGGGAGTGAGTGGGATAGGGGGTAGGGGTGAGAAGAGAGAGGGGAGGGGGAGGGAGGGGGGTGAGGAGCGCGAGAAGAAGGGGGAAGAGGGCTGTAATGGGAGTAGGGTAGGGAGTGATAGGGGGTAGGGGGGGGAGAAGAGAGAGGGGAGAAGAGAGAGTGAGGGTAGGGGTGAGGGGGCGGGAGAGGAGGGGAAGAGGGGGTCAGGGGGATAGGGTAGGGAAGTGGGATTAGGGGGTGAGAAGGAGAGAGAGGGAGGGGGAGAGGGTGTAGGGAGTGGGATGGGAGGTGGAAGGAAGAGAGAGGAGAGAGGAGAGGGGAGAGAGTAGGAAGGGAGTTAGAGAGTAGGAAGGAGAGGGGAAAGGAGGGCAAGAAACAGGGTGAAGGAAGGGGTAAAGTGGGATAGAAGAGGGATTAGGAGAAGGAGTGGAGGAAGGAGAAAGGAACACGAAGAAACCAAAAAAGAAAAGAAGAAACATAACCAGAGAAGGTAAAGGAAGGAAGAGAGGGAAAGGTGTAAAAGCAGGAAGGGGCATAGAGGTACGGAGGGAGGCAGAGGGGGAGGAGGAGGAGGGAAGACCCAACTAGGAGGAAGGAGAGAGGAAAGGGTTAAAAGAAAGAGGAAGGAGGCGAGGGGAAGGAAGCAATTATATCCCCAAAGGAGAGGCTCTCACAGCTGACCATTTAGGCGCCATGACACCTTATCAGCCCTATCGCCCTGTTGACCTTGGAATAAGCTCCATTTACGAATTCCAACTTGATAAGTAACTTTGACTTAAAAAGAAGAGAGAGAGAGAAAAAAAAATCACTTGGGATAATTTATTTGTGGGTTATTTTTATTTATTTTTTTTTTTTAGAGAGAAAAAAGTAAAGAGTTAAACTTAAAAAAAAAAAGGAAAAGATAAATTAAAATAAAAAAGAAAGAGAGAAAAAAAAAAAATCACTTGGGATAATTTATTTGTGGGTTATTTTTATTTATTTATTTTTTTTTAGAGAAAAAAAGTAACTTAGAGTTAAACTTTTAAAAAAAGAGAGAGAAAAAGAAATTTAAAAAAGAAGAGAGAGAGAGAGAAAAAATCACTTGGGATAATTTATTTGTGGGTTATTTTTATTTATTTATTTTTTTTTTAGAGAAAAAAAGTAACTTAGAGTTAAACTTAAAAAAAAGAGAGAGAAAAAGAAATTTAAAAATGAAGAGAGAGAGAAAAAAAAAGGAAAAAAAAATCACTTGGGATAATTTATTTGTGGTTATTTTTTTTTTTTTTTAGAGAAAAAAAGTAACTTGAGTTAAACTTAAAAAAAAAAAAAAGAGAGAAAAAGAAATTTAAAAAAAAAGAGAGAGAGAAAAAAAAAAAAAAAATCACTTGGGATAATTTATTTGTGGGTTATTTTTTTATTTTTATTTTTTGAGAAAAAAAAGTAACTTTGAGTTAAACTTAAAAAAAGAGAGAAAAAAAGAAATTAAAAAAAGAAGAGAGAGAGAAAAAAGGAAAAAAATCACTTGGGATAATTTATTTGTGGGTTATTTTTTATTTCTTTATTTAGAGAAAAAAGTAACTTAGAGTTAAACTTAAAAAAAGAGAGAGAAAAAGAAATTAAAAAAAAGAAGAGAGAGAGAAAAAAAAGAAAAAAACTCACTTGGGATAATTTATTTGTGGGTTATTTTTTAATTTTTTTTTTAGGAGAAAAAAAAGTAAACTTTGAGTTAAACTTAAAAAAAGAGAGAGAAAAAGAATTAAAAAAAAAAAAAAAAAAGAAGAGAGAGAGAAAAAAGGAAAAAAAAATCACTTGCGATAATTTATTTGTGGGTTATTTTTTTATTTTTTTATTTTTTTAGAGAAAAAAAGTAACTTGGAGTTAAACTTAAAAAAAAAAAAAAAAGAGAGAGAAAAGAAAATTAAAAAAAAAGAAGAGAGAGAGAGAGAGAAAAATATCACTTGGGATAATTTATTTGTGGGTTATTTTTTTTTATTCATGTTTTACATTGTTATTCTTTACTTTTTTCATGCTTGTTTATTTATTTGTTTGTTTATTTGACAAGGTGTGTTGATCTGGTATGATAAGAGTCGGTTGATTTTCATTTTTTATTATTGATTTTGTTGTCATATTTATCCGTGTTGCTGCTGTTGTTTTCATTATCACTGATATTGCTATCATTATCATTATTGACACTGCTATTATCTGAATTTTCTTTTCATTATCATTATTATCATTGATATTATCATTATTATCATTGTTATTATCATTATTATCATTGTTATTATCATTATTATCATTGTTATTGCCATTACAACTATCATTATCATTATTATCATCATTATTACTATCATTTTCATCATTATTATCCTCATTACCATTATTGTTCTTCGTAGTTATAGTTATTGGTATTAGCATTATTGATTTTCATTAATATCATTATCATAATTATCATCACCATCACCATCATAGTCTATCTACATACATCCTCACCACCATTAACATCATCACCATCTCCAACATCACAATCATCACCACCACAATCACCCCCATTTTTCCTCATCACCTCCCACTCTACCTCCTCTCACCACCTCATCTCCTCCTCCACTCCTCCTCCCACCTTATCTCTCCTCACCTCCCACCACCTTATCTCCTCCCACCTCCCACACCTTATCTCGTCCTCCACCTCCTCACCACTTTATCTCGTCCTCCACCTCGTCACCACCTTATCTCGTCCTCCTGCTCCTCCTCCAGGTCATGCTAGCGCAGCAGAAGGACACCGAGAACTACTTCGCCGTCAAGTGCCTGAAGAAGGACGTGGTCCTCGAGGACAACGACGTGGAATGCACACTGATCGAGCGGAAGGTGCTGAGCCTCGGAACCAAGCATCCCTATCTGTGTCATCTCTTCTGCACTTTCCAGACTCCGGTGAGATGATCTGTTTATCTATTTATCTATCTATTATTTATTTACTTACTTATTGATCTGTTCATTTATGTATCTATTATCAATTGTTCTACTCATTTATATGTTTATCTATTTATTTTGGGTGGGGGGTCTTTTATCTATTTTATCTATTTTTATTTATTTATTTTTGATCGTTCATTTATGTAATCTATTATCAATTGTTCTACTCATTTATATGTTTATCTATTATTCTTTGGGTGGGGGGTCTTTTTATCTATTTATCTATATATTATTTTATCTACTTACTTTTACTGATCTGTTTCCATTTATGTATCTATTATCAATTGTTCTATTCATTTATATGTTTATCTATTTATTTTGGGTGGGGGGTCTTTTTATCTATTTATCTATATATTATTTATCTACTTACTTACTGATCTGTTCATTTATGTATCTATTATCAATTGTTCTATTCATTTAAATGTTTATCTATTTATTTTAGGTGGGGGGATCTTTTTAATTTCTTTGTGGTAGTGTGTATCTTTTGTATTTTCGATTGTGTGTGTTGATGGAGAGATGGCGGTGCGGAGGTAAGGATGGTTAACAATTAAAAAGAGAAAACGATCAAGATATATATGTGTGTGTCTGTGTATGTGTGTGTGTGTATGTGGTGGTATGTGTGTGTGTGTATGTGTGTGTGTGTATGTGTGTGTGTGTGCGTGTATATATACATATGGCACAGTCTTTGAACTACGTAAAAATGTCTTTTGCAATTTCTTCCGAAAGTTTGTTACTTGTTATCCGTTTATTTCTATTAGAGAGAGATAAGACATGAGATTTTCCACACTTTATGTATTTCATGATGATGGAGAGTCGGCGAGATGGACATGGAAAATGCGTAGAAGGAGACAGAAGAAGAGAGGAAGGAGAAAGGGGTAAAGGGATTGGCTCAGGGTCGTGTCGTGTGTTATCTCTTTTGCTCATTCCTGGTTCTTGTGTTTTCTTTCTTTCTCCCTTTCTCTGTCTGTCTGTTTGCCTGTTTGTTTGTCTGTCTCTGTCTCTGTCTCTGTCTCTGTCTCTCTCTCTTCTCTCTCTCTCTCTCTCTCTCTCTCTCTCTCTCTCTCTCTCTCTCTCTCTTCTCTCTCCATCTCTCTCTCGTCTCTCTCTCTCTGTCTCTCTCTCTCTCTCTCCCCTCCCTCTCTCCCTTCCCTCCTCCTCTCTCTATAATGCATACATGTGTGTGCATGTGTATCCCTCCTCTCTCTCTCTCTCTCTCTCTGTCTCTCCTCTTTACTTTTATTTGTGTTGATGCAAGGACGGAGGGAGAGACACGGTTGAAAAGGAGGCAAAATTAGGAAAGGGAGGGGAGAGGTAGACAAGGTTGAGCAGGAAGTGAAGCAAGGAGTGAGGGGAGAGATAAAGAGATTTGCTCAGCCTCTGCAGCGAGCATCCTTACTGGTGTGTCATCTTTGACTGAGGAAGGAAGGGGAGAGCTAAAGCGATTAGAATTTTTTTATTCCTTGCAAATACGAGATTATTTGGGATATATATATATTTTTTATCATTATTATTATTTTTTAAATTTCTTATATACGTTTTTTTATTTCTTTTTTTTTTAATTTCTTTAGATGGATGTTTTTTTTTATTATTTTTCTAAGGAGGTGAGATGTCAAAATAGGTTCTTCATGAAAATAAGAAGGTTCTTTTAACTTTTTAGCTAAAAAGTGAAGAAAAAAATATCGATTACGGAAAAAGTGCATAATCATCGATAAAAAAAAAAAAAAAAAAAAAACGCGATGTGTAAATTAATGAGGCCGATATCCCCAAGCTTCAGAAAACCTATACCTTCATATCCCCCTTCCACGATCTTTCTTTTTTTCCCCTTCTTTCTTTCTCTCCTTTTTTATCAAATCCTCCAATCCAGTACCGCCAAATGACCCCATCTTTTGAGTCCTTAATGGCCGGGCAAGAGGAAGGAGATCGAGCCCATCAATTCGAGCTTAAATCATAAGAACGGAACTCGCGAAGGCTTAATGAGCAGACTGATTCATCAAGATCCTCATCCTCCCACTTCGCTTAATTAGGTTTCGGGAAAGTCTAAGAGACAGATGGTAATGGTATGTTTGTGACGGTCATTGCTCCGGATGGAAGGGGGGATGGGGGTCGGGGGCGTGTTTCCTTGTGCGTCTGCTGGGGCGTGTTGTTTGGCGGGGTTGGGTGGTGGGGTCGGTGGTGGTGGGTGGGATAGGGTAAAGGGAGGGGCAGGAGGGGTTCGTTTTGGGCCCCCTGGCGGGAGGGTAGGAAGGGAGGGTAGAGGGAGGGAAGGCGGCGGTTACAAGGTGTAGGGGATGTTTGGTCTGGGGTGGGGGTGGTAAGGGAGGGTTAGAGGGGACGGAGAGGGAGGGCAAAGGGAGGGGTGTTTTGGGGTTTGGCGGATAAGGGGGGAGGGTGGGGGAGGGCGGGAGAGAGGGGTGGGGGCGCGTTTGGTGGTAAGGAGGGGGATGGAGGTAGGGGTTTGGTTTGTTGTGGGCGGTAAGGGGGTAACCCTACGTGTGGTGTGAGGGCAAGGCGGTGCTGTTATTGTGTTTTTTTTTGGAGGGTCGGGGGAGGCCAAGGGGGTATGGGGGCTCAGATGGGCGGTAGCGTAGGGTTTCGGAGGTTTAGTTGTTTGGTGGGGATAAAAGAGGAGAGGGGAAAGAGGGATAGGAGAGGAGAGAAGGAGAGAGATGGAGAGAGACAGAGAGCATGAGAGAGAGAGAGAGCAGAGAGAGAGAGAGAGGAGAGAGAGAGAGAGAGAGCGAGAGAGCGACGAGAGAGAGAGAGAGAGACGAGACGATGCGGAAGAGAGAAAGAGATGAGAGCGAGAAGAAGAGAGAGAGGAGAAGCAGAACGAACAGAGAGAGAGAAGAAGAGAGACACGCATAGAGGAGACGAGATGAGACGAGAGAGAGAGAGAGAGAGAGAGAGAGCGAGAAGAGAGAGAGATAACAAGATAGAACTGACGCGAGAAAGAGGGGTATAGATCTACTTTCCCCCCCACCAACCCCCCGCCCCTCAGTTACCACCCCCTCCCTTTCCTTTTCTTCTTTTTTCCTTCCCCTCCTCCTCCTTTTCTTCCTTTCTCCTACATGTTTCTTTCTTCTTTTCCTCTTCCTCCTACGCCCTCTCCCCCTCCTCCACCTACTCCTCCTCCCCACACTCTTCCTCCTCAGCCTCTCCCCATTCTTCTTCCTCTTTTCTTCCTTTCTTCCCCCTCTCTCCTTTGCTCCTCATCTTCCCCTTCTCCTTCTCTTCATCCCTTCCTCTTCCCCCTCCCCTTCCCCCCCGCCTCTTCCTCCTTCCCCTTCCCCCCTTCCTCCTCCTCCTTCCCCTTCCCCCCCCTCAGCTATTTCCTCCTCCTACCCTTCCTCCTCCTCCACCTCCTCCTCCTCCTCCCTCCTTCTCCCCTTCCCCTTCCCCTATCCTCTTCCCCTTCCCCTTCCCCTTCTTCTTCCCCCTACCCTATCCCCTTCCTCTTCCCCCCTCCTCCTCCTCTCCTCCTCCTCCTTGTCGAACACTCAAGCGCGAGGATCGGAGAGAGCGATAACTGGCTTGTGTTCTGACGTGGACTAATGACACATTGTCTCCGCCGAGAACCTGGAACCGTTCCAGTCGGTTCCAGTCGGTTCCAGTCTCGAGGTTCGCACCAGAGACGGAGAAAGATCGGGGAGGGGGAAGGAAGGGGAGGGGTAGGGAGGGGTGAGGGGAAAGGAGGGAGAGATGCGGGAAGGGTAGTGGAGGAGAGAGGTGGGGAGGTAAGGAGAGGAGGGGGTAAGGGGAAGGAGATGGAGGGTAGGGAGGGAGGGGGAAGAGGGAGGGGGGAAGTGAGTAGGGGGGTGAGGGAGGAGATGGAGGGAGGGTAGGGTAGGAGGGAAAGGGGAAGGAGGGGGAGATAAAGGAGGAGGTGAGGGGAAGGAGATGAGGGGTAGGGGGAGGGAGGGGAAAGAGGTTAGGGGTTAGGGAGGTTAAGGAGGCAGCGGGAAGGAGGGGGAAGGAGGCGGAGAATAAGGAGGGAGGGGGGTGAGCGGAGAGAGGGATTGGATGGAGGGTAGGAGGGAAGAAGAGAGAGGAGGATAAGGAAGGTGAAGCAAAGGGGTGAAAGGAGAGGAGGAGAGGAAAGGAATTGGGGGTAGGGAGAAAGGAAGAAAAAAAGGAGATAGGAAGAAAGGAAAAGAAAAGAGGGAAGAAAGGGTAGGGGAAAGTAAGAAAAAGAGAGAAATTTGAAGAAAGGGAAAGGGAAGGAAGAAGGGGGAGGAGGGCGGAAGAAGGAAGAAAGGAAGGAGGAAAAGGAAGATAAATGGAAGGGATTAGAAAAAAGGGAAAGGAAGAGGAAAAGGAAATTGAAAGAAGGAAGAAAAGGAGAAAGAAGGTTGAAGCGAACGATCAGAAAAAAAGAAGAAAAACAAAGAGAAAGAAGAGAGAGGCGAAGGGAATAGAAGAAAGGAAGGGAGAGGAGAGGAGGAAGGAGGGAGAGGAGGAAGGAGAAGAAGGAGGAGGAAGAGGAGGAAGAGGAGGAGGAAAGGAGGGCATTGGAACGGCGGCCAGTGCAGGCTTTAGTAGTCGTGATGGACTTAAATAGGAAGAGTAATGCAAGATGTCTTGAGAAGGTCAGAGCCTCCGGGCATGGACTACCCCTCCCCCCTCCCTCTCCCCAAAATACTCCCCACTTCCCCTCAAATCCTCCCCTCCCTTCCCCTCCTTCCCCACCTCCTCCCTCCCCCCTCCCCTAAAATCCTCCCCCAACCCCTCCCCCCAAATCCTCCCCACCTCCTCCCCACCATACCTCCCTTCCCTCATACTTCCTCCCCCCATACCTCCCCCCCCCCTTCCCCCCAAATCCTCCCCACCTTCTCACCAAATCCTCCCCCCCCTTCCCCCCCAAATCCTCCACCTTCTCCACCCACAAATCCTCCCCACCCCTCCCCCCCAAATCCTCCCCCCCCTTCCCCCCATACCTCCCCACCTTCTCCCCCCAAATCCTCCCCACCTTCCCCCCCCCCTCCCCCCAAAATCCTCCCCCCTTCTCCTCCCCAAATCCTCCCCCCTCCCCCCCATACCCCCTTTCCCCCCCTCCTCCCATACCCCCCCACCCCAAATCCCCCCCTCCACCCATACCCTCCCTCCCTCATACCTCACCCTTCCCCCAAATCCTCCCCCCCACCCCCTCCCCCCCCTCCCCCCGCCCCCTTCCCCCCACATACCTCCACTGCTGAAAATACTGAAATGCTGAAACTCAGGTCATTCTATCTCAGTAAAATGTTGATGAACACGAGAAGTCTATGAAATTAAAAGGCATAAACCTGATGATTAAGTGAAGAATTGAACAAATGTTGAAATGTTGAAATGTTAAAACAGGATGTTCATGAGAAGTGTATTAACATATGAAATTAAAAGCCATAAACGAAAATAAGGGATTGAGTGAATATATCAATCAATAAATTAATAAAGAAATAGATAAAGAAAGAAGTGTATGAATGAAATGATAAATAATCAAATGAATAAACCAGAAAAAGAGAAAAAGAAAGAAAGAAAACAACACCAATAGCATCAAGAAAAATAAGAATTGACAAGGAAAATGAACAAGAAATGAACAAAAAAAAATAAATGAACAAGAGAAAATTATTTACATTTTGAATAAGTGAAACCAAAAAAAACTAAACAATGAAAAAAAAAAAAAAAAATTAAAAAAACAAAAAGATTAAAAAAAAAAAAAAAAAAAAAAATT